AACGTGTAGAAAACAGAACGGTGAACATAATAGTAAAAAAATTGCACGAAACGGAAAACATGAAGGGGCTCATCGGAGGCAGTTGTACGTTTTGCCCGTAATTTTCGGTCAATCCGCCGTTTCTTTTGCTCCGATTTGACCGTGGGGGTGCTCGGAATCAAATTTCGAGTGGATAAGAGAATTTTTACATTTTTTGACAGTTGGAGGGGGCTCCGGCGCGACGATGGACGTCGGTCGGCTCCCTTCTCCAACGACTGGTTCTTCTTTTCCGTCGGGAGGCTGACAGCTAGAGTTTGGGTTCGATGTGATACGAAATATTTATACTCATCTCGCATTAATTTGGATCGTTTATCGCGTTTGATCTCGACCGTCTGATCGCATGTAAAGAGGAAATAAATTTGGACCGTTCATCGTTATTTGATCTCGACCTTCCAATCGCGCTTGAGGAGGGAACGGATCCCGACCGACCACGCGTGCAGGAATGCTTCTGAGCCGTCTGATCTCGGGGCACACGGATCGCAAGCATGGCCTCCCGCGTTGCACCGAATCATCATGTTTTGTCACGCGATGCACTCCGGTTCGTCGAGACTGCTGACTGTGTGGTCTTACATGGGTCAAATTTTTTTAATTATGTTCTGATCCTCAGTTTTCGATTTTTCTTTCAAAAATATAATCCGAACTCAAATTTTCACTCATTTTTTTCAAAATTATTTTTAATTTCATCCTCAACCTATTTTTTTCTTAATTTCACAATAAACTAAAATTTATTAATTTCAAAAATAGGTATTTATACATTTTTTTAATGTTAAAATTAATTTCAAACTAAATTTTGGATCTGGTTATTACAAAAATACCAATTAAATAACAAAAGAAAAAACAAATTTTTTACTATTTTAAACATTTTTGTAGCATACGTTATTTTTTAAAAAAATTGTTTAAAATAATTAAAAGAAAATAAACATAATATTAATTTATAAAATGTGATGTGACGCCCCCATCATGGGTGGGCTATATTTGACCACATGAAAAAGAAAAAAAAAAATTATTTCATGAATCAAATTCCAAAAACATTTGAACTTTTCTATATGCATGTTTCTAAGTAGTGAGCAATTTTAACGTGTCGTGGGACATCCATGAGTTAGTTGAATTTTTAAATTTTATTGATTTATTTTAAATTTTATGAACAATACAAAAAAATATCTAAAATATATTAATCATATTTATAAAATTTTTGTTTATCATTTTTTAGATAAAAAATTTAGTATTATATTTAAAAAATGTCACAAAATAGCAAGTTCTATGCATATGTTCATGAATTGTGGGACACAATACTTTATGGAGATATATACATACAAAGGTATGTATATTTTAAGATTGGGACGAGAGAGAGGGGAGTTGGTATGATTTTAAATAAATAGAGGGGTGTTTATAATTGCTTAGATAGAGTCGGTGGCTTTTTTCATTTTGTGATAATAGACAAATATGTGGTTTTCGTGGATACCCCCAATGGAATGTTACATGAACTTAGACCATGATTGATAGAGTGCGACTTAAAGTTGATTTTGCCTTGATATTATCTCATACGAACCAACAAAAAAGGAATGGCTTGTATTTAATCACGGTGCTTAATTTTTGATTAATGGGTTTTAAAAGGGGTGTTTAGCAAATCATAATCTTGATCTCATAACATTATCTTTTTATTTAATTAATGGTTTTGTCCATGCTTTGTTATTTGGACAAAAATGTGTTACATAATTTGAGACAATTTTATCTTTTCTTTTAAACATTAAAAAAAATATTAAATATTTTAACCAAGTATAGCTGTCTAATTCATATAATTTACATTGCATTATTTTAATGGATACATTAAGCTTTATTATACTAAAATTTGATTTTATTATGGACTCAAATATTATAAATTAATTATTTTTATATTTATATTAAATAAAATAAAATCTTAATTACCTTATTATAATAATAATTTTATAAATTTATTTAATATTATAATTTTATAAATAAATATAATTTCTAATCATTTTTTTTTTAAGAATCGTATGAAAAAAAATTCTCTTATATGTCTACGAAAGTAGTATTCATCAATATCTATCATAATAAATAAATCGATTATTTATAAGAAGAAGTAACATTCATCTACATCTATTCCATTAATATATTAAAATAATAAAAGTATCTCAAAAATAATAATATTATATGTAAGATAAAAAATAAGGAAAAAAAAAATCACCAAAAATAAGGAAAAAAATCACCAAATAAAGATTTGGCGAGACTGCGTTACAACTTGTATTTTCTTTTTGAATATTTAACTTTAAAACACAATCTCTACCAATCTTGTGTGGACGCGACCAAGTTTTGGTTCGGCCCAACCAAAAGGTTGACGAGACTACCCCAGCTAAAGCCCGTAACATCCGGACAAGGTTATCCGATCCGGTCCAAATCCAACAGTGACACGAGGCTTTGACACGTGCGTCTTGACTGCCCGATGGGTGACACGTGCCTAATTATGATAGTTACACGTGTCAAACACTTTGACGGCGACAACATTGGCCCGCCGAATTAATGAAGAATAGACGAGAGTTGAAATTCATTTTCGTGTCAAAATCACTTTCGTCCTTAGTCTGTGTATCGTATATGGTTTTGTGCAATGTGTTTTGTCCGAGTTCGGAAATACTCTTCACGGCAACCAGACTCTTATCCATTTGCAAATCACTAGTAAATTATTATATATATATATATATATACATGTATATACACACATACATATATTTATGGATTCTAAATTTAATTAGAGAACCGAATTTATAATTAAAATATAAAATTCACCCACTTAGTTTCAAACATGTATTACAATTTAATCAAGTAAATTTATAGTGTTAATAACATAACTCAATTAAATGTGCTAACTATAAAATAAATTACCACTCAAAACATAAATTAATATTTTCGAGACTAAAAACAAAAATTTCAGAGAAACTTTAAAAATTTAACCATACGCAAATATATTAGCATGTCACTTTTCCTAATTTTAATTATTTTTTATTCAAATTTTATATCTTCTATTTTATTCTTATTATCTTAAAACAAAAAACACATTATTTCATTAATTAATAAAGTTCATAAGAATAAATTGATTCTCAATTATCAAAAATGAAAATTCTTCTAAATTCGAACATTAAAATTTAAAAAAGCCCGAACTTATTTAATACATTAAACTAAAATATTTTCTTAAAATAGAAAAATAACAAAAAAACCTATTATTTTTTATAGGGAGAGAAAAAGGACAATTATATTCAAATTAATAAAACTAAAAGCTATCTTAATTAACCGTTAAAACCATATTTGCAAAATTTTTATGAACTAAAACCAAAACATAAATTTTCATAGTAGCTCTTTAGTAATGGCATTTTAGTAATTTTAAACACCTAATCCAACAGCAAATTACGGAACTCCCAAAGGTTAACGGTCTTGAGTGGCGGCGAGAGTGGAAGTGGGAGCATCGGTGGAGGCCGCAGCGCCACGGCCAGGCTTGGGCTGAAGGTGGCCTTCAGTTCCGTACGCTTTCCGCTTGTAATCTTCCAAATCTTTGTAGTTGACGTAAGGACTTGCCTCTAATGGCACCTCCTCTTTCCTTTCTTCATTCTTATTTTCTGTCTTCTCCTCCTCCGCCGTATTTTCTGGTTTCTTCTTCTCCATGTTTGAAAATTCTGAAGCTATGCTTGGTCTTTATATTACATTGTTGGATCTCAATGTACGTGCAACGTGTTATGCCACGTGTTCGCTTTTGAGTTCCACGTGTCACCATTCAAACATTGGTGGCCACGTGTCAAACACTCATCTCTCCACGTTTGCTTTTAATTATCTAATTATATATCCATATGCTTACAACTACTAGTATTCTATATTATATTAGAGAGTTTAGGTTATAAATTCAAAATTTGTGCTATATATAGTTATGGTTTTATTTGATCATAAAATAACCAAAAGTATATTTAAAAATAATAAAAATTAAGTTAATATAAGCACTTATTTTTGCTATTTTTCTTACCACCATACTTCATTCCTCTACTTTGATAACAATAAAAAATAGTGTTCAATTAAAATATAAAAAAGTAATTGATTTTGCTCTAACGATTTAAAATTTAATTGAATAAAAATATTAAATTAATAAAATATCAATAGAAAATACTTAAAAATATAAGATTTATATTTTTTACACAGTTAAATTAAAATATTTAATAAACTTAAGAAAATATCTCTTAAAGAATTAAAATAACTAAAATAAAAATATAACTAAAAATCTATAAGATCAACCTCTGCAACACAGTTGGTGAAAAACGATAGACAATCTTTAATCACTAATTTTCTTACTGTTCAGAATTCGAATTTTACTTGTTTTGATATAAAATTGTTAAATAAGAATATGAGATACACTAACTCAATAAAAATATCAACATTTTACAATCGATATGAAAAATTAAAAGTTTATAAAAATTATAAAATAACCAATAGAGTAATTTTTCTTTTTAAGTAAATTTATTTAATTTTTTTTTTAAAACATTAGTTTCATATTAACTTTTTAGGTTCTGAAATACACATTGTGAAGGAGGAATCAAGATAGCAATCTATTAAACATTTTAAGAAACCAATAATAATCAAACTTTATCTTTTTACTTATTTACTGGTATCCCTAAGGGTCCATAGGGATTCTCACTACATGTGAATTTAAAATTTAATCTATTTAATAACTGGTCGTTCACATACCTTGTTTGATAATAAGTGTCAAATGTAATTGTTTGAAACAAGTTAATTTTCAGAATATAGTGAAATAAGAGAAAAAATTAGTGAATGAGAAAAAGGATCCAAATCTCTAATTCATTCTGACTTGTTGTTACTAATAATTATCTCTATTTCAAACCTTATTTCTAGAAAGTCATTTTATTTTAATAATTTTTATTTATTCTATTTAATTACGCTTCTATTTGAAATAATGTTTAAATTATTATACATTTTATACAGATTATGTAACACCCCGTTTTTTTTTTCTTTCGAAAGCAAAAGATAAAACAATCTCATGACCCAACACGTAAGTCCCATGCCAGTTTAATCACACACAAAGAAAACTTGTCCACATTTCATTGTTCAAACCTAATATAAACTTACAATTCTACATATACATCAAATGACAAAACCATATCATACACCTCCAGCAAACAGTATCCATACTAATATAAACTTTTACACACTACAACCCGCCACAAAGAAAACCTTTGCTCTATGGCGCTAAAGGCTAGGCTCAGCAACCAGCAACTCAGATCCCGACTTCATCCCTACTTCATCTATTAATGATAAGAAGTGAGTTCACATAACTCAATACGATAAAAATCAAGTTGCAGGTAAAATATGCAATGACAAGAAATTCAGTATGTCTATATGCATTTCTCATACACAACCCAAGTCATACCTTAAAACCACCCAAGAACTAGCCATCATTACCTACCTCGAAAGTCCAGTTTTGGTTATCAGTACACATATACACAGCAAATCCAGTACCCCAT